GAGTGAGCGGACCATCTAGACTCTGGAGGACATGTTGCGGGCATGTGTTTTAGACTTTGGAGGTAGTTGGGATACTTACCTTCCTTTGGCTGAGTTCTCCTATAATAATAGCTATCATGCGAGTATTGACTGTCCTCCTTTCAAGATGTTGTATAGGAAAAAGTGCAGGACCCCGATATGTTGGGGTGAAGTTAGTCAAAGGGTCATGGGGAGTACCGAAGTGGTACTCAAGACTACAGAGATGATCCAGCAGGTTCGGAGCAGGCTTCAGACTGCTCAGAGTCGGCAGAAAAGTTATGCCGACAAGCGTCGATCGGACCTGGAGTTCCAGGTCGGGGATATGGTACTCCTGAAAGTGTTGCCTTGGAAGGGCGTCATTCGATTCAGGAAGCGGGGCAAGCTGGGCCCCAGGTATATTGGACCTTTCAGGGTTCTAGCCTGGGTGGGCAAGGTGGCATATAGGCTGGACCTGCCAGCCGAACTAAGTCAGATTCATAGAAATTTTCACGTCTCCCAGTTGCGGAAGTGTCTGGTGGACGATTCGACAGTGGTACCCTTAGAGGATATTCAGGTGGATGACAGCCTGATTTAGATCGAGCGGCCAGTGGCGATCCTTGACAGGAAGTCGAAGGATCTGAGGAACAAGAGAGTGGAGCTGGTAAAGGTGCAGTGGCAGCACCGCAAGGGCTCGCAATGGACCTGGGAGCCGGAGGACGAGATGAGGGAGCACTACCCCGAGTTTTTTCCAGATTCAAGGACGAAGTCTAGAATAAGTGGGGGAGATTTGTAACACTAGGGACTCGGAAGTCGAAGGATTTGTAACACTCGCCGAGTCATTCTTGGGGCTCGGCGAGTCGGGGTGTATTTTCCACCAAATCCTTCCTGTTATGGACCAGTTGTTAAGATCGAAGGTTCCCCCAGTTGTTTAGGTTCACTAGGGACCTGGGAATCATAGGACTCGGCGAGTAGATGAATAGACTTGGCGAGTTCAAGCCAATGTCCCAGCCACATGAAGACGGACTCGGCGAGTTCACAGGGAACTCGGTGAGCCATAGACTAAACATCTTCTTATGGATGAAGATGAACTCAGCGAGTTCAAGGACGAACTCGGCGAGTCGGTTGAATATTGTCCGATGTGTTATTGAAGGCGAACTCGTCGAGCTCTTGCTAGACTCGACGAGTAGGGATGGGATTATGGCTTTTGTGGATATGGGGACTCGACGAGTTAAAGGGCCAACTCGGCGAGTCGAGTCAACCAGATGTTGACTTTGACGAAAAGTTGACTTTGACCATGGATTTGACTTTGACTTTGACTTGGATTGAGTGACCCTTGTAAGGGTTACGAGTATGAGTTGATAACTTAGAAGAGTTGTCGTGTAGGGATTGAGGAGTCGGGGAGAGTCGATTTCCACACCGAGATCAGTGCAGACACTACACGACTTCGAGGTGAGTTTCCTTCTAGTAGGGGTGGATCTACGGCCACAATGCCGGCCCACAAGTGAGAGTGTTGGATAGATGATTGTCTTTCTGATAATTATCTAGGATTAATATGTGATATGCTTACTGTGTTTGATATGATTAATGTGCTTGATATGATTATTATGCTTAATATGTGTTAGCAGTAGTAGGGGTGAAATAGTCCCCGGTTACCGGTTGAAAGATACCGAAGGGGAGGTTAGTTCCCAGTTACCGGTTGAAAGATACCGAATGGGAGGTTAGTTCCCAGTTACCGGCTGAAAGATATCGAGGGGGAGTCCAGCTCCCGGCTTTGCCTGACAGTTACCGGTTGAAAGATAATGAGGATTATGCATTATTTGGTATGGGTATGATGGGGGAACTCGCTAAGCTTTGTGTTTACGGTTTTTAGTTTTGGTTTCAGGTACCTCTTCGTCTAAGGGGAAGGAGCCGACGGTGTAGCAGCGCATTACACACACACACATGATTTCTGCATTGAGTTTTCTGGGATTGTACTCTGATTTTTATTACTATTGATGATATGGTTTTGAGACACGTTGTTACGGTTTTATAAATTGATATGACATTGGCAATGTTTTCGGTAAACTATTTTACAACTTACTTAATTAAAAATGAAATTTTTGGCCTTGAAAATTGGGATGTTACACTTATGACATTAGGGTTGGATGAGAATCACTCCATCCCACATAGGAAAAGGAGTGAATTTCGTGGTTGTCTCCCCATCCCACATAGGAAGGAGTACAAAACCTAGGAAGGGATCCAAGGCTATAAATAGGGCCTTAGGGGTTTCATTCTTCCTTGCATCTTGGCTTGAAGTTTCGCCAACCCTTCTTCCTCCCCCGCTTAGGGACGATTTATAACCCTCTTTGGGTTTGTGAAATTGACCCTTCTCCTAGTTATTTTTATTCCACTCTTTGGTGTCATTAGGTGTAATACCATTAGAGGGATTATGGTTTGGGTCCTCTCATCCAAGCAACTTCATGGAGGATCAAGATCTCAAGCATGGAGATCAAGGGCTACATAAGAGGTATGTTTTTCTTCATTATGTTTTTTATTTTCTAGGGTAGATGTAATTAGAATGAAACCATAGATCCATAAGTTTCATATACACTTAGGTATATCGTAGTTTTGATTTTTCCGCTACCTAGTTTAGAGTGTATTTGATGCGTAGAAAACCCAACACATACAAACACAATCACAATGCAAGTGACGATGCCACCATCCTTGATCCTATGCGCCTCCACTATAAGCTATCAAAAGAGAGAAAAGTAGGACAAAGAACAAAGAGACACTTCAAAGCTCCCACTCGATCAGCCACCAACTCTTCATGTTAGCTCGAGCTCCATGAGACTTCAATCCCCTAGATCCTCTTTGTTGGTCTTCTTTTTTCAATATATTAGAATTTCTATTCTAATACAAATTTTGCTAACTAAATTAATGCATGTGAAATAAAATTTACATATTATAAAAGAAAATAAATCACATGAAGGCCACAAAGAACAAAATACAACCATTCATATAACACATGCAAGATATCATCCAAACATCAATATCTCAATATTGAATTTAAATAATAATTACAACTAAATAATTAAAACAACAAATAGGGCGATAACAAACTTATATAAAACCATATGATTTGAATAAAATTATAAATTTCAGTCAGGTGCAGAATAGTGATCAAGCATACTCATATTAGAAAATCGAAAACAAAATATGTGAACAATTACTACACACCACATACCACAAATGAATATGCATTGCATACTAGAAGATCATGAGTCGTGTTCCACAAATTCAGTTTCGGTTATTGGTCGTCGACGCGCCTCGTAAAAAACGCATAAACATTCTGCTCAAAAATCCTAGTTCGATTATTCATTTTGCAAAATGGATTTTCAAGGTTTTTAAAACTTATAGTGACCTGATCTAATCATCCACTATCATCCAAATATATTTAACACAAGACAAATTGGAAATCTAGTACAAAAGACGTGAACATGTGGCATTGATACCATATTGGGTTATTGGGATGCAAAGAAACATAACGAATAATAAACAAAGGCACAACGGAAGCAATACAATTAACAACCCCATAATCCAATAGAGGATCCATGTTTAACTAAATCTAATGCAACTAAAACAACATATAAGGATATAAATCGTACCCCTGAAGTCCTTTGAAAACTTTGTAGTTTTTTATGGAGAGAGGATGTTCAGAACCCAAACCAGATCTCCTCTTTCATAGTTGTACCCAAGGAAGGTAGATCAGAAATCATGACACCTTCAAATCTAGTGAACACCAAAAACGCTAGAATCAGAGTCGAGAATCATTGTCGACGAGTCGTGTAGAGGCAGTCGATATATTGTGTCCATCAAGGTTTGTGAGGTTATGAGAGTGGTGATAAGATAGACGATTTTAGGGTTTTGATTAGTGATAATCTCCTCATTAAATAGGTACCAATCGCCTTTATTTATACAAGAGGTTTAAACACTCTTATGGGATAATTACTTTGTCACTAGGTTATTTTCCATAAATTTGGGAATTATCCTAAAATTCTGACTTTCATATATTTACACTTAAACCCATCAAGTCAACAAGTTTTTATTAATTAACTAAACCATAAACTAATTAACAAACTAGACCTTAATAAAACTCCCATGTCAATTGCTGCTTATATTTGTCCTTACATGTAACCTAAAAGAACCTATTATTAATAGTAATATTACCGACTGTTGTAACTGTATATATTATTTCCAACATTGTGAACTTCGGCAAATAGATTGTCTGTGTAGGTTTACTTTATATTTCTATGAACTTATTCCAATTAAAACCAACCATAACTATCAACTCATCTTTACTTAAACACCCGACACATTTCGTGTTTCAGTAGTTTACTAACAACTCAAACACTCAATATCCACGAAACATTAAATAATTATTAAGTACTAAGAAATGATGTCACAACAAAATAAATTCATTTCTCAATGTTGAAAATTGCCATTTATTAGCAGACCATTTTCCATACTTGATCACTATGAATGAGGCTAATTTCCGATATAAAAAATAGATTATTCATTACATTTAGAAATGTCCATTTTCAACACTTAGAAATGATTATTGAGTATAAACTTAGAGTCATTATCTGTAATATATGAAATTCGAACCCAAATCCAAGTTTGGAATTAAGATTGAGATAGGTTTCAAAACGTACTTTCTTTGTAAAATAAAAAGGGATATATACAGTAAAGTGCCAATATTTTCATTGCTTTGACACGAAAGTCCTAAACAATTTTTTTTGACACTAAAGTCTTAATTACCGGCATTTATTGACACGATTGTTGTTTTTGTCGGTAACTCATTTAATATCCAGTAAGCGAGTTGATGTGGCTACTGACGTTTACCTGGAGGGTGACTCAACACGGGGACATCATTAAATGAAGAAGGGTTAATCAAGTAGGAAAAAACCCTCTTTCTACTGCGACGATTCTAGGTTTTTTACTGTGAGGGAGATACGATTTCGAGTATGAGGGAGATACGGGTTGGATCCTTGAAGATGGAAGGTGTGTTGGACTTTGACACAATCGACGTGAAACTAAATGAACTCTTTCTAAAGAAATAGAGTAGGAGATGTATAAATGAGTTCTTGAACTCACTGTGTCTCGACGATGAAGATAAAGACTTCATAAACCTTGTATTCGAGAATGTTGAAGATGATGAAGCGCTTGTGGAAGAAGAGCCTTTGGATGAGGAACAAGAGGAGGATGAAAACGTGGATGAAGCTGTAGATGAAGGGGAAAATGATAGTGAGCCCAAGGTTAAATATTACACCCATGATCGAAACGTGAAATGGAATAGAATGAAACCTCAAGAAGGAGAAATGTATGAATCTCCACAGCAACTAAAACTCAGTTTAACAAATAATATGATATCTAAGGGTTATCAGATTAGGTTTAATAAATGTGATAGTGTTAAACTTCATTGTGTGTGTGTGTGTTAGTGATCCTGAGAAATTTAGTTGTCCTTATTATGTTAAAGCCTCTTGGATTAGCACTAAAAAGTCATTCCAAATAAAGAAAATGTATCCACATCATACATGTGTCAAGAATTTAACAATGGAAAACTTATAGGACCAACATGGTTAGCTAGATAATTCCTTAAAGAAAACGTTCAAAACATATTCACACTAAGATTTCATTGGTAAGGAGTTATAGGGCTAGATGTATGGCAATGTCCATGATTAAGAGAGAATTGGGTGATCACTATGCAAGGGTGTGGGATTATGGTGGTGAATTGCTAAGATCCAATCCAGAAAGCACCATTAAAATTTATGTTGAAGGCAACAATGATGGTACAACTACTTTCAAGAGGATGTATATATGTTTCAAGTCAATCAAAGAAGGGTGGAAGCTGGGTTATAGAAGGGTGGTAGGGCTTGATGGATCTTTTCTGAAACGGCAATGTAAAGGACAATTATTAACTGTCATAGGCAACGACCCAAACACTCAAGTTTATCCATAGCTTGGGTTGTGTTTGACATTGAGAATAAGTATAACTGGAAGTGGTTCCTTCGGTTGTTAGAGGCTGATCTTCGAATGGATGTAGGAAGGGGCGTGTGTGTAATAACAGACCAACATAAGGGTCTGCATGAGGCAACAAAGGACGTGTTACCATATGTTGAGCACAAACAGTGTGCAAGGCATATATATATATATATATATATATATATATATATATATATATATATATATATATATATATATATATAGAGAGAGAGAGAGAGATAGAGTCAAGGTCAAATAAGAAGGAAATTTTTGGTAGGAAGGTAAGAAGTTTTTTTTCTACATATTTTTTTCGCGAACAAACAAAATGAATCATTAGATGATTCATTTGTAAGATGATTCACAATAAAAAATTCTCAAAAAAACATCTCGATGATTCATTTATACAATGATTTTGTTGTTATTCACTAAAATTGTCATAAAAGTGAATTTTTTCTTAATTTACTTAAAAATGAATCATAAAGATGTTTTTTTGGAAATTTTTTCTTGTGAATCATCTTACAAATGTATCATGTAGTGATTCATTTATTTTGTTCGTCAAAAAAATATGTAGAAAAAAAACTTCTTACCTTCCTACCAAAAAAAATTTCTTACCGGATCTATATATATATATATATATATATATATATATATATATATATAGAAAAGGGTTTGTGTATGTATACTTTGGGATGTATCAAGGATACCATGTGTCCATGCCCAAGCATCTATCATGTTAACTCACTAGGATCCAAAGACATTTATTAGTAGGTGACTTAGTAAGGCAATGCACATTTCAAGTTATAGTTCTAATATTTTACCTGTCAATGGCAGCAATTTATGGGAAGAAGCTCCTTATATTAAGACTTTACCCCCTTAGAGAGGAAGATGACAGGAAGGCCAACTATGAAGAGGAAAAGGCATGTCTCAGAAAGGAATGACATGTTCTCCCAAGTGTCCTTAAAGGTTAGAACTATCCAATATCAAAATTGTCAACAAAAGGGACACAACAAGAAAAGCTGTAAAAATCCACATGTTGAACCAGATCCTAAACCCAAGAAGAAAATGGGTAGGCCAAGATTGGACCCTAGTCTAACCCAATGGACAATACATGGTAGAGGGGGAGAAAGGGAAATAGAGGAGGTGGTAGGATACCCAGAGGTGGTGGAGGGGTACCCAGAGGCAGGGGTGGCTTCCATAGTTGGTTTGAAATAGGTGAAACCTCAAATACAGTACCACGCCAAGAAGGGGTCAATGATGAAGATGAATCTAATAGGATGGTGGATGTAGATGTGGTGAGTGATGGAGATAGACTAGATATGGCATATATGGACTATATTATACATAAAATTACACAGTTGAGGAACGCATCTTACACTGATATAGACATTATGAGATGCCTTGGAATTACAAACACTTAATTAGAAGAGTCTGGATATATGGTAAGGTTTCATTTAGTGCTTATGTATACAATTCAACGTTTTTTACTATTTTTTCTATATTAGGCTGCCAATGTTGAATATGAAACGGTTTAAGGGAAATGTGGAATTGAACATGGACATGGAGATGGAATGGAAGGAGATGAAGCTGAAGATGTACAGGGGAATGAAGAAGAAGGTGGAATGGAAGGAGATGGAGTGGAAGGAGGTGGAGATGAAGATGGATAAAGGAATGAATAACAAGGTGGAGAAGAAAGAGATGGAGATGGAGAGAGGAATGCAGAAGATGGTGGAGAAGGAGATTGAGAGGGATAAGGTAATGAAGAATAAAATGGAGAAGAAAAAGATGGAGAATGGGATAGAGATGGACAAGGAGATGGAGTGGAAGGATTTGAAGCTAAAGGTTTTCAAGGAAATGAAGAAGGCGGAGAAGTAGTTGAAGTAGTTCCAGTAAATGATCTAGTACAACAAGAGCATTTTGGAAATAATGTGCAACAAAGGATAAGGAGACCCTCAGAGAGGATCATTCTTCAGAAGCTGGAGAAGAAGGTGGTTGTCACCCGGAATCTGGAAGGTTAATTGTGGAAATAGATTCCCTTTTCTAGGGACCAACTCGGCGAGTTTATGGTGGGAACTCGACGTGTTGGATGCTTTTGCGACTGGCATTTTTATGGACCAACTCGGCGAGTTGGTGAAGGGAACTCGGCGAGTTGGACGCTGATTGAGAAACCCTAATTTTTAGGGTGTTGCACCCTATTTAAAGGCATTAAGTTCTTTGGTTGGCCTCCTTACCAGCCTCCTCTATCCAGAAACCCTAAACTCAAGCATTGCCTTCCATTGTTGAGTGTGTGAGCTTGGGGAGAACCTTGAGTGTTAATTTTTGGTGCTTGTTGAAGGAGCTATGGAATTAGGAGTTGCTTGGCTTGAAGAAGAAGTCTTGGATCCAGAATCTCTGTCTCATTTGCCAAGTTTTTGAGGTATCAAGTTCTCACCTTACTTATTAGTTGCTTAGATCACTTCTTGGGTTTGATCTTATGCTTTTAGCCATGGTTAGGTGGATGTTAGGGACTACGACGTCCCAAACGCTTATTCTTTCAGATCTAAGGTCTATATGAGCTCTTTTGGCATAAAGGTGCCAACTTTATGGATTTAAGGGCGTCATGCATTCATTAAGTCTTTCATTTAGCCCTTTCCGAGCTTTTCAGCTCCTCCTAGTCATGCTTAAGCGTAAAGTTGGAAACTTTACGTGGCCATCTAGCCTTGGGGTCAGATCTGCATGTTGGGGTTTTGCCTTTAATGATTAAGTCATCGCTCTTTTAAGTCTAGGGTTTAGGTTTGGACCCATTTAGGTGGTTCCTAGGGGTTAAAGCTGGAAACTTTACCCTTCTTGATCTCATTTTGGTCGAGATATGAGCTTTGGAGCTCTTGGTTTCGATAAAGGCAGCTTAATGCATTAAGCTGTTGGTTCTTGGGCGAACTCGATGAGTTGACTTGGTTTTTCCCGATCTGTGCAGTTAATGGAGAAACTCGACGAGTTGAAGGTCAACTCGTCGAATTTTGGGCGGGGCTCGTATCTCAGTCGAGTGTGGGCAGGGCCCGTATCTCATTTGAGTGTGGGCGGGGTCTGTATCTCAGTCGAGTATGGGCGGGGCCCATATCTCAGTGGGCAGGGACCGTTACGTGTTTAGTTAAGTATGGTATGAGGTATCTTATGGAACTCACTAAGCTTCGTGCTTACGATTTTCAGCTTATGTTTCAGGTACTTCGGTTTCATTGGAAGAGCTCGGGATGGTTGCAAGGCACACACCACTTGTTTCTGCATATAATATTCTACTCTGATTTTTATAACAATTGATACATTGGTTTTCTTTTAGTTGTATGCTTGGTTTGTGAAAATACTATTTGATCTATTTTAAAAATGAAAATTTTGGGACCATATTTTTTGACATTACAAGTTGGTATCAGAGCCTTGGTTTGAGGGATTCGGGCACACTCTCGGGTGTGTCTAAACTCAAACTGAGGATTTGGTAAAGTTTTTTTTCCAAAAAGAAATATATTTTAGAAAGGGATTTTTCTAAAAGAAGAAAGGGTGTGGTGCATGCAATCATCCGAGCTCAAGTAGGTTTTCCCAAAATACCCATACATGTTATTTGTTATGCTTTTATCTATGAATCTGTGGAATCGCATGCTAGTTAGGGCTAAGGATTTGCTCAGTTATTGCATGTTAGAATGCTAGGAGAGTTGCCTTTGTGTGCGTATTGTATGAGCTTGTAGACTTGCACGCTAGTTCTAATTAGTCAGTTATAGGTTGGCCTGATAAGTGATGCACGGTAGCATAGGAAGCATTAGATGCTGGATTGGGTGTGATTTGTAGGCGTAAGGTAATCAATAGCGGGAGTAGGAGTTCCTAGTATGTGTTGTAGTAGGTTGGATTGGAGTGATATTGCACGGATGTTGCTTCCTTTGTGCTTTGTGAAACTCCTAGGTGATGGGAGTCAGCTACTAAGTGAATATGTTAAGTCACATGTAACAAAGGTTGGATAATCTCAGAGTGACGGATTTGACTCTATTGCACAGCTCTTGTTTGAGTCCAACCATTGTATGGATGATTCTGTTACTCGAAGGATTATCTAAGCTTGGTTGCGTGTGATTGTATTCATGAGGTAGGTAACTTTATGGGGAGTTCTTCAGAAGCTGATGGCAGTGTGAGATCGGGAACCTAAGAAAGCCAAGGGATTGCTTAAGAGGTTTTGTTGCGCGGGTTAGCAAGTGCTAGTGTATGGAATTGAGAAGGTGACTTAGGGGATTCATAAGGATTCTTGACGAATGTATGGATATGTGTGGAAGGTAGTATTGGGCCCGTACTACTAAAAGCACAGGATCCATACTCGAATCAGCGAGAGTCTTGGAGAATCTAAGAAGCCTTTGGGATGAAGATTTATATTCGGATCTCTTGCATGTTGTTTCGGTATGGTGTGGAGCACTCAGGAATGGGGTTCAGATTCTGGTTCCGGTTCACCAACGGGTATTGAACCGATCGATGCGCAATCGTGGGAGTTCATTTCATGGGAGATTACTCGCAGTGTTTCGGATTGGACCTTGGTGGTCTCTGGTTCAGCCAAGGAAGGGAATTTGTGATTCTTGGATGGTCATCTCAGGGCCTTTCGGGCCAAGTTTATAGCAGGGCAGTTGGGGGCTCATCTAGAGCCCAAAGCGTGTGAATCTCTATAATCCTTCAGGAAGGAGGATCTTGTTGTTAGTTCTTGTCATTTGGGATCGTAAGGGGAGTTTTGTACAATGTCCTCATGATGATCGGGGTAACTCAAGTGGAGGTCAGGATTCCTTCAGATGTTTTGTGGGCATGTCATCTTCTGTTTTTCTTCTGGTTTATTATCGGGAGTTGGTATTGTTTTGGATTCTGTTTGGGTAGGTTAAGTTATATCTCGGGTTGATTCTCTGATATTTTCTGGGTTATCGAGGGTCGTTATATGCCATCCTGCATGACGGGAGTCTTCGACGAATCTTCAAAAGGGTCGTATCTTCTTAAGTGGGTTCAGTGTGTCCCGTTGTTGTTCCAGGTCTTTGTCGAGATCAATTCAGGAGTATTTCTTGGAGGATCTATGGTCAGGGTTATTGGGTTAGTTCTCCAGTTAAGACAGGGTTTAGGGGTTTTATCATCTATTCTGGTAAGATCTGCAATTGTCAATAGAAGAACTTGTGGGTTCAAGCACTACCGTTGCTAGGAGAGGAGCGGTAGCAGGTAGATAGTGATGACAGATGCATGAGTTGATTGGTCATCGGAAGTGCCAAGGGATTTTTAGATCCGCATGGGTTGCACTCGGTTGGAATTCGGTAATTCTTTGAGGATGGAAATTGGAGTGGATATTCGTCAGAGCATGGCATGGGTTATGGTTCTTAGTCACAGGCATAAGGACTCAAGTAATTGGTATGGTAACATGGGAGGTGATTTCGATCGTCAGACTAGTTAACGTCTCAAGAGTATTTTTCCGGATTCCAGGAGTTGGGCAATCGTTGAGACTGGCTAGTAATAAAATGCTAATTTTGGTAAGCACAGGTCACAGGCAGTGCATGCTTTATGAGGTTGATGGGTTGGGAATCCATCAGACTTATGGGATGAAAGAGCTTCATCAAATTCAAGTGGAGGAGAATCGATCAAAATTTCCGGGAGTTGGATCGGGTGTGGAACTAGGGCAAGTTTCACATCCTGGTCAGGAAGAGAGACGACCCAAGTGGCCGTTTATATTGGGGTTATGTAAGTGGGAGTTTAGGGAACTCCCAATAGTTGGTCGTCATCTTCTGGTTATGCATAGCAGGTTGGTGGAAGGATCCAGGTCGAGGGTTGTGTTAGAGCCTTGCCGCTTGTTCTAGTCTGATGAAGACTTTGGGGTTCAAAGAATGACTTGAACACCTAATTGATTTTAGTCGAATGTGGGTTCGATTCAGGATATTTGGGGTTGAGAAGGTTTGGTTGTGATGATATAGTTTGGGTGGGACCCGTAGGCGAGGCCCGTAGTCGAATGTGGGTGGGACCCGTGGGCAAGGCCGCTCCATGATATAGTTTGGGTGGGACCCGTAGGCGAGGTCCGTGTGTTTATGACAATGCAGATGGGACCTGGTAGAGACCGTTAGGTTAAGGTATTGGATCTTGGATTTCAAGATTGAGTGTGTGGTTAGTATGTGGTGAAGAGGAATGTTTGGGCTGGTAACCTTGTTATTTGGACTCTTGGGAACCTGGTGGTTAGACCAGGTGCGAGACTGGTAGTCTCAGCGTGGGTTTGGGAACCTTTATATCTCGGTCTAGCAAGGGTTGTCGTTATTAGAAGGTCTTGGGTGAAATGCAAGTGATGATCTGTGGATCTCAGTTTATGAGTTGCGTATTAGGTTGGTATTGGTTGAGATATCGATTCGGGTATCGTGAGTGTTTTGTGTAGAATTTTCGTTTCCGTGGGTTGAGGATTGGGGTATCTATATGCCGAGGGCATCGATCGAAGAGTTCAAGGGTAGTGAATGGGTTCAGTTTTGGATGGTTGATCAGCTCTTGTGACTATGTCCTGGATTGGTTCTTTTGTGGAGGGCATCAAGATAAGTGAGGACAGTCCTATTGATTTGGAACTTGTGTGTGGGGAGTAGCTTGTTATTCGAAGGAGATGTTAGGTCGCTTGCAGTTGGGATTGGATAATCTCAAAGTTGATGATTTGATCCTGTTGCGCAGCTCTCGTCTGAGTCTAAAGATTGCAGGGACGAGTCTCCTACTCAATGGATTATCCGAGCCCTTGTAAAGTATAAGTGTTCTACAGGAATTAATGATCTGTGATTATGTTTCTCATGGGAATCTCAAGTATCATAAGTTGAATAGTCAGCTAGGAAATTAAGTGGGATGGTTTCAGCAATGGTTCAGTATGGGTGGTTTGTCAAGGAGTCAGACCCTCTCGAGACTTCAAGACTCAGTTTGAGTAGATATGGTTATTTTGCAAGGGATAATTTTCATGTAGTGAAAGTTTGTTCGTCTGCAAGTTAGAGAGCCCTACAAGGGTTGATTTCGATTGACATGTGAAGGCTGGGGTATGCTTGGGGTTGTGACCGTGTTGCTTAAGTTGTTTGACGTGTTGGGAATGGTAAGGAATGATTTCGAGGACGAAATCTAATTTAAGTGGGGGAGATTTGTAACACCTGGAATCTAGAAGGTTAATTGTGGAAATAAATTCCATTTCCTAGGGAACAACTCGACGAGTTTTATGGTGGGAACTCGACGTGTTGGAGGCTTTTGGGACGCGCGTTTTTATGGACCAACTCGGTGAGTTGGTGAAGGGAACTCGACGAGTTGGACGCTGATTGAGAAACCCTAATTTTTAGGGTGTTGCACCATATTTAAAGGCGTTAAGTTCTTTGGTTGGCCTCCTTACCAGCCTCCTATGTCCAGAAACCCTAAAATCAAGCATTGTCTTCCATTGTTGAGTGTGTGAGCTTGGGGAGAGCCTTGAGTGTTCATTTTTTGTGCATGTTGAAGGTGCTAAGGAATTAGGAGTTGCTTGGCTTGAAGAAGAAGTCTTGGATCCAGAATCTCCATCTCATTTGCCAAGTTTTTGAGGTATCAAGTTCTCACCTTGCTTATTAGTTTCTTATATCTCTTCTTGGGTTAGATCTTATGCTTTTAGCCATGGTTGGGTGGATGTTGGGGATTAGGACGTCCCAATTGCTTATTCTTTCAGATCTAAGGTCTACATGAGCTCTTTTGGCATAAAGGTGCCAACTTTATGGATTTAAGGGCTTCATGCATTCATTAAGTCTTTTATTTAGCCCTTTTCGAGCTTTTGAGCTCCTCTTAGTCATGCTTAAGCATAAAGTTGGAAACTATACGTGGCCATCTAGCCTTGGGGTCAGATCTGCATTTTGGGGTTTTATCTTTGATGATTAAGTGCTTAATGATTAAGCCCTAGCTCTTTTAAGTCTAGGGGTTTGGTTTTGGACCCATTTAGGTGGTTCCTAGGGGGCAAAGTTGGAAACTTTACCCTTCTTGATCTCATTTTGGTCGAGATCTAAGCTTTGGAGCTCTTGGATTCGATAAAGGCAGCTTAATGCATTAAGCTGTTGGTTCTAGGTCGAACTCGGCGAGTTGACCTGGTTTTTCCCGAACTGTGCAATTAATGGAGAAACTCGACGAGTTGAAGGTGAACTCGGCGAGTTGGGTCAATTTGGACCGTTGACTTTGACTTTCGATTTAGGCCAGTGAACAAGTTTGTCCGAAGGGGTTCTTGAGGTAATCTGATTTGTAATTAAGGGATTTATGGGCTTAGGATAAGGCCCATATGGGGTTGGGCTTAATTTGGAAAATTGGGCCAATGGTTCGTCAATGGGCCTTTGGGCCTTTCAAATTGTAGTTTGGGTCATTGATTTTGACAAGGCTAGGTTAGGGATAAAATGGTCTTGTTACCCCAGGTATGAAGTTTTCGTTATGGATTGGAACCCAATTGTTAATTGGGTGTTGTTTTGATCGGACAGTTTGGAGGTGTCGTCAGGGAAGCAGCTAGGGATTTCTTTCAGTATGCTTCAGCAGTGCGAGGTGAGTGTCCTCACCGTGTTTAGTGGGTCGAAGGCACCAATGCCGGCCCATGGTTATTATGTTACGATTCCAGTTGTCTGCGTGACTCTTGCATGTGTATGCATTGGTATGTATGTTGGGCAGGGCCCGATGATTATTTTGTCTGCTAGTATCAGGTTGTGCATATATGATTTGTATGTGGGCGGGGCCTGATGATTGTACAATATGCTATTATCTTTATGATTTTTGCATGTGTTGAATGTTTATATAATTTTATGGTTATGCGAGTGTGGACGAGGTCTGTATCTCAGTGAGCGGGGCCCGTATCTCAGTCAAGTGTGGGCGGGGCTCGTATCTCAGTCGAGTGTGGGCGGGGCCCGTATCTCAGTGGGTGTGGTCCGTTATGTGTTTAGTTAGGTATGGTATAAGGTATCTTGGGGAACTCACTAAGCTTCGTGCTTACGATTTTTAGTTTATGTTTCATGTACTTCGGTTTTCAATGGAAGAGCTCAGGATGGTTGCAGGGCACACACCACATGTTTTCGTATATAATATTCTACTCTGTCATTTTATGACAATTGATACATTGGTTTTCTTTTGAGTTGCATGCTTGGTTTGTGAAAATACTATTTGGTCTATTTTAAAAATGAAAATTTTGGGACCATATTTTTGGACGTTACAGTGGTTGACCCTCTTGGTATAGGAATGTCTCAAGATAAGGCATTTACTTTAGATTAGGGATAGGGGCATAGCAATTTAGTGCATATCATCTTTTGGTTAATATTATGGAAACATGGTTGCATATCATCTTTTGGTTCATATTTTGTAAAAGGTGGTACATATCCACCTATATTGGTTCATATTTTGTAAACATTTACTAGTAACCAAGCAATGGTCAGAATTGGTCAATGTCATATTTTAGTTCAAATTTGGTTGTGCAGGTCAGCGTTGGTCAATGACACTTTTATTGTTCATATTTGTTTCATAGTAGGTTGTACTTTGATTTCATCCTAATGCATTACAACATAAGTAAAATGGTGATTTCATTGCAAAAGAAACAACATCATCGTACATAGTGACTACATTGCCTTTACATTAGCTTAAAATACAAACAAAAAAAACCACATCATGGACCACCCTAGAACAACACCACCTCCTGCACCTTGCACTGCAACAAAACCACCTGCTCCTTATACTTGAGCTGGAACAACTTCTACTGCTACTTCTTCCATTTGTTCTACGTCTCCATTCCACCCATTGATTAAGGAGTACAAGATCCACCCAATCAAAAGAATGTGCAATCCTTACTCGAATCCTGGATAACCCAAGATTAAAGAAAGAAAAAAAAACTAAAAGATGAAGAATTTCGACATTTAACAACTAACCCTATAATTTAGGCATCCAATGAATCTTCTTCCAGGATTTCATATCTTGCATGAAGTCCACCTTCCAACGGGGTCACCACAATCGTAATGTGTCATTTGAGGGCGATTGAACCTTCTCACAACCCTGCTTCCAACAGATAAAGAAGACGATATTCTCATCTTTTCGTTTGTGAAATACGAGACTAGCGTTCATGACGGATTGAAGGTCCGATGCTTAAGTAAGGTCGAAAACTCCACATAAGTCTCTCATTTAATGAAACAATTGTCAACGTAAGCTTTTGGTGCCACATCACAAAATAAACCGACTGCACCCGCAAAAAAGGGCAATCGTTTCAATAAATCCCGGTAATTAAGACTTGAGTAGGGATGAGCATTAGAACCGCCGGAACCGGAACCGGACCGGAACTGAACCGGAACCGGACCGGAACCGGAACCAGAATTGGTAATAGGTCCGGTTACCGGTTCTCCATTTTTATGAAAACCGGTCCCGGTTCTAAAAACCGGAACTGGTTTGACATTTTTTTCATTTTTTAAAATGCGCATAACTCGCTCATATGAAGTCGAAATTATTTGATTTTTTTTTCCAACATGTAATTTGGAGTTTGTAATTCATTTTTGACAGTACAAACATATGTTTTTGTTAGATATGGAATCAGACACATGCCCCGAAAGAAAACATATCGATATTGCGTTTTTTTATTTCAGCATTATTTTTTTGTTTTTTTGAATATGTCCCATTTTTTAAATGTGTATAACTCATTCATATGACGTCGGAATTACTTAATTTTTTTTCCACCATGTAATTTGGTGTTTGTAGTTCATTTTAGACTATAAAAACACATATTTTGGTTAGATATTGAATAATTTATAGACCCCGGAAGACAACATATCAATGCTGCGTTTTTTCTGTTTCAGCATTTTTTATTTTTTTGGAATCTGTCCCCGCTTTTAAAATGCGCATAACTCACTCATATGAAGTCGGAATTACTTGATTCTTTTTTCATCATGTAATTTAGTGTTTGTACTTCAATTTAGAATGTAAAAAGTCATAATTTGGTTAAATATTGAATCATTTACAAGCTCTAGAAGATAGCATATAATCTATAGTATTTCAACCGGTTCTATTTTGAAAAATAACCGAAAAACCGGAACCGGAACCGGCGGTCCGGTTCCCGGTTCTTATAATATAGGAAAACCGATTCCGGTTCCGAACCGGTCCAGTTCCAAAGCTCATCCCTAGACTTGAGTGTAAAAAAAATAATATAGGACTTCCGCATCAAATCGATTAAAATATTGAAACTTTACTGTATATATCCAATTAAAAAAACAATAAAATATAAAATTTGCCTTTTAATATCATCCATTTCGCAGGGTACGATGCCAAATGAGGTTGTTATTTCATAGGATCCTGCCAAAATTAATGATTATTTTGATTTTTATTTAATTTTTGAGAAAAATAAAAACTTGAAAAAATTCGTTTATTGGTTTATTTATATTTTGCATTATCCAATTATAATTTGTGTACGTATATTTATTATGATCCGTATAACGTTTTAACGGTTGCCAACTGATCCCCTATAAAACCTCTTTGCTCCCCTCCTCCCCTGTGTTCAGATACTTTCCACTCCTCCAAAGCAACCCACCAACACACACACACACACACACAGATGTCTCGTCATTTCAGGATGCTCGGTGGTCAAAATTCATCCACCACCGCCGTCGCCGAGCAACAGCAGGACCCCGACAATGTCGACTCCGACTTTGTCGTCATCCTCGCCGCCCTTTTATGTGCCCTAATCTGCGTCCTCGGTCTGGTCGCAGTCGCTCGCTGCACCTGGATCCGTCGGATCTCCGGCATAGTCATTATCGGTCGTACAGATCACTCTCCACCAGCGGCAGCAAACAAAGGTCTAAAGAAAAAAGTCCTCAAAGCTCTCCCGAAGCTCACCTATTCCACAGAAACAATGGCGGAGAAATTCCCCGACTGCGCTATCTGCTTGACGGAATTCGTCTCCGGTGACGAGATCAGAGTGTTGCCGAGGTGCGGACATGGTTTCCATGTCATGTGCATTGACACTTGGTTCGGATCTCACTCCTCGTGTCCGTCTTGTCGCCAGATCTTAGTAGCTCCGCCGAGATGTAAGAAATGCGGTGAAGTTCCCGGCGGTGAATCCACTGCAGCTCAGACTGCGAATCATATATCAACAAATGCTTCAATCGACAGGTTTTTGCCCTAGCTTGAAAACTACCGATTTGATTCATTTCAATTTGTAGTTAGGTTTAGAACTGTACAGTAATTAATTAGGTGAAATCATCTTCAAACAAACATGATTATCCTATATAACTACAGTTTATCTGAATATGTGTGAATTTAAACTGTAAACACAGGAGGTATTTTAATAGCTTCATGATTTTAATTAATTCAACTTGTTTGTATGCTGTAAAGATATATTCTCTCTGGTTTATACTCGACACACATTCCTGTTTGTTCCTTTTCTTTGTCCTTTTGGTAAAACAACAAATAATTGAGCTTCAATTAGAAGATTGATCCCATTATATTGGGATCCAATGATCAATGAAACTGTAGTGAGTGCATGTGCATCCAACATACTTTAAAATCGAAAAATGCTCACCAAGAACTCGAATCAGTTCAAATTTGGGAAATGAAATCTTCATGGATGCATAATTTTAGGGTAATTGTTTATCCAAAAAAAAATGGTGAATCTTGTATATGTGTGAAATTGACACACTCCACACGCAAAAGATTGATAAAAATGACTCATTCATGTTGCATGTGTATAAGTGTATTCTTTTACACCACTTCATCAATAAGACAAATACTAGTGGAAAGACCTAATCTGTTATTTTTTTTTTAGACAAATATAATGTTTGACTTGTTATGTAATTTAATAAGAAGGTGCATGAGTTTACATTATTAATGTTATTATATAGTGTCAGTAATTAGATAATTATATAATGGTTGCAATAAAATCAATAAGGGACACATATATGTTGATTAATTTGCTTCGATAGTGGTAAGATTGTATAATTACTTTTCTTGAAATCTATTTGCTCTCTATGTTTATGAATCTGTCAATAATTCTTAGGATGATTTTACAACAAACTAGTATTAAATCACAAAACCTCATATGGCGTTCATGTAAATTTCATGGAACATTAAAATAAAGTCGCCAACATGTTAATATATAAATAACTAAACGACTAAATTTCGAAAGAAAATGTTGTTTTTTGTAACAACTTGGAATAAAGAGTACGGCTTTTTCTTGGATGGAAGAAATATTGATTAGTCATAGTTGTTTGTTTAGTTTTTTTAAGTTGTCATTTTGGTAAGTCGAAAACTAGCTTATAAGCTAGCTTTTTAATTTGACGCGTCATAGTTAGCTGATAAACTAGCTTATTTTTCGAGTATTTTTATATTTTCGTGTTTGGCAAGCCAAAAAGCAGCTTATAAGTTAGCTTTTTAAAAAGCTATTTAAAATACCTTTTTAGGAGCTTTTTTTAAATCTTCCAAATATACCCCTTGATTAATTATAAAACACATTCTCTTAAATGTCATTTTATATAATTTTATTTATTTCAGTTAGTTTTACCAAACATCATCTTTTTATTAATTTGTTTTTCAGCTATCAGCTAACAGCTATTTTTTCAGCTACCAGCTAGCTTTTCAGCTAGTACGCCAAACATAACCGACTAGCTTCTTAGGAGCTTTTTAAAAAAATTTCAAATATACCCCTTAATTAATTGTAGAAACACATTCATTTAAATGTCTTTTTATGTCATTTGGTATCTTTAAGCTAGCTTTTCATCTAGTTTTACCAAATACCGTTTTTTATCAGCTAACTTTTCAGCTATCAGATAATTTTTTATTTAACAGCTAGTACGCCAAATATAGCCTAATTGTTTGGAAACCGGTTTGGAGTATGATGCTATTTTGGAAAAATTACAAGCTAAAATTACGAAAACAAATTAGGGTGTTTGAGAAAAATGACCATTATGAATGAATAAAAGAACGGAAATGGCCAATTTATTTGCATTTTGTAAAAATGATTATCATGTATGTCAGCAAATCTAGATTCCAATGTAATCAGCATTTCAAATCATAGACAAGCATTGCTTCAATGTTATAAATGTCTAAACACATTATCTAATGTTAAAATAAAGATCTAATCTACAATTTATGAATACATTAACACAAAACTAACACTTATATTAATGAATTTATCAATTTTTACCAACCATTTTATCATCACCTACCACATTTTTAGTATAGCTAACTCTTTATGAATTCACCGGAATCCACCCCCCCCCCCCTACCACCCTACCCAACATCCATTTAAACATGTTAAACTCATAACAAAATTCACATCACAAACATAATAAGTCATACATTCTTCTAGTTAACGCAAAAGCATGACTTCGAGTTTGCGCTCCAAAAATGTGTGTGTATATATATATATATATATATATATATATATATATATATATATATATATATATATATATATGTCATTCTCTTAAATAGGTCCGTCTAATTGAGAGCATTAATAGAATATCAATGTTAAAAAGTCGGGATATTGAACCTATTGAGTAGAAGTTGAACTTCTGGGAGAGACTTGGGCTCTCGAAAGCCAAAATTGTTTTCTAATCCCTTTTCTTTTCTAATTACATTAGTGAATTTGTGTTCTAGCACTTCAATTTCCATATTAGAGTATTAGAGTCCTCTAGATCATGGGATCGAGATATAATAATACGTGTATGGAAGAAATTGAAGGAAGAATGATCAATTTAGAATCAAAGCAAGCAAAACTGGATACGAGATTTCAATCAATTGAAGAAACATTGCAAGCGATTGCGAAGCAATTAAAGTGTAATAATTAGATGTTGGAAGAATTAGGAAGGCAGTTTGATGGCACTTCTATTTATGTAGAAACTGATCGGCAACCAAGAAATTTCAATAAATAACTAGATTCAGAATCGTTTTTTTGCAATGAAAGGCATGGAGTTGGAGATGTCGATGTTTGAAGGTCCAGATACTAGATTATGAGAGCGAGCTAAGCGATACTTCCACTTGAATCGGTTAACTAATGAATGAGAAATTGGAAATAGTAGTAATCTCGTTTGAAGTTAATTCGATGTGAAGGAGGATAAATGTGATATATTTCGAAGATGGGAGGATTTGAAAGATTTAATGTTACGCTAGTTACGCTCCGACACTAAGTCGGCAAGAAGGTACTATAAAAGAGTATATACAAAAATTTATTGCTTTAGCAGCTTGAATGATGTGTCTGATGAAATTTTTTTAATTCAATTCATGATTTGGTTATAGGCAGAGATTAGGGTAGAAATGAGGATTCTAAAACCAAAAGGGTTTTTGAAACAATGGAGATGGCTGAAGAAATTGAAGAGAAAAATAGAATTTTAGATTCCATTAAGAATTAGGAGTGACTAATATTAATCGTAGTCAGTTTGATTCTAATGAGTCAAAGAATCAAATTACTATGAGCATTAGAAACACAATTGTTAAAGACAAAACAGCGGGGGAGTTTCAAAAACTATTAAATGAAGAATTACATCTTAAGATGGCTAGCAAAGGGAAAGAACTGAGTGTGTTGGTGTTTCAAAGTCAGGAAGAGTGCGAACAAGAAGAGGCGGCGGATTTAGAGGAGATATAAGTTAAAACTCAAGTACTTCAAAATATACAGAGTTAATTTCCGTTGAGATTAAAAATAAAATAAAGATCTTAAAATTCAACCTCAGCCACATATTTTACATATGCCGCTCTAACCCTCCGGCATACCGGCACGGTAGGCCTGTTATAATCATAAATGATTATATAACGACACTCGTTTCTTTCTCCTCTGCCACCATCCCACCACCACAACTACCACCGCAACCACCACTACCACCACCTCTGACACCAGTAGACCCCACCACTGTCACCTCCGTCACTTATTCCGCCGCCACCTCCGTCACCATCACCTCTTCTGCCACCAACTGTCATAATCATATATGATTACTAAGTCTGTGAACATACATATATGTATAATCATTTATGATTAGGCATATACGTATAAACATGTATAATCACATATGATTATACATCTTTGTCATATAATCATTTATGATTAGGCATACCCTGCTACTGTCGGTACGCTACAACGTTAGAGCGGCAAATGAGAAATATGTGTCTGAGGTTGAATCTCAAGATCTCTACGTTTTTTTTAATCTCGAATGAACCGTCTCATATATATATATATATATATATATATATATATATATATATATATATATATATATATATATTGGTCATTCTCTTAAATAGGTCAGTCTAATTGAAAGTATTAATAGGAGATCAGTGTTAGAAAGTCGGGATCTTGAACCTGTTTAGTAGAAGTTGAACGTCTAGAGAGACTTGGGCTCTCAAAAGCCAAATTTGTTTTATAATCCCTTCTGTTTTCTAATTCCATTAGTGAATTTGTGTTATAGTACTTCAATTTCCACATTAGAGTTCATCAATTGGTATCAACGCACTCTAAATCATGGGATCGAGATCTAATAATACATGTATGGAAGAAGTTGAAGGAAGAATGATTAATTTAGAATCAGGGGTAAATAGCAGAAAGCCACTAAGTTTATACCAAAATTCTAATTTGACATTCTGTTTTTTTTTTGTCATAAATTTGACATTGTATTTTCTAATTTTTTACAATTTTGACCAATTGATCGGTCAACCCGGTTACCTGCGGATGTGGCATGACGACATGTCAGTTTTGATGGCGTGGCATGCTGACGTGTCAAAATTAAATTTTTTCCCAACAAAATACATTAAGTGTTCACTTTTTTCGACTCTCTGTTTTTATGTTTCAAATCGAACATCATTTTTTCCAATTTTGTTCAATGTTGACCATTTTCCATTTGAAAATGTAGATATATTTTTATAATACATTTTAAACCGTATAAATACATTTTTTCATTTAAAAAGCATATTTTTTTATAAATACAAGTTTTTTTTTTTTAAATTCAGATCATAATTTTATGTATAAATATGTATTAGTTATATAAAAACCGTATTTTATATTAAATACACAACTTTAAAATGAGTTTGAAGGTTTCGAGGTGTGTAGTCGATCAAGGCCCAGATGTGAAGTTTATAACCCGTGAAATTTTTACATCTTATTCGAAACTTATATTTAGTTTGGTTCTCATGATATAACTA